ATGAGATGCCCTTTATATATGTCATTATTAGGAGTCCCTCACTGAATTGCAGGTGAAATACTTATTTGATTTGAATATTGTGAAAGAACACTCAAAATATGGTTATAGGTTATACAACACATGGTGGTGCTCGAGAAAAAACTTGGTGCATCAGTAAAATATTTCCACAAGGTACTGAGCACACATAACTAAAGTATGTGCCACATGTAATTAATGTGTATATAACTCATTAATTTTTTTTTTAAGGAATGTTCTAATAATTAAGAACTTAAGTTTTTATATTAGATATTTCAAGTTTGGATCTTGAAATAGATAGAAAAGGATTTGGGAAGGTGAGAGCTATTTTTTCTTATATAAACCATCATCTAATGTACTAAAAAAAAAAAAACTCAATAATTTATTTGACCAATTTGTTAAATTATTAGTTAGGTCACTAAGATGTAGATTGGGTTAAAGTTGGGTGACCAATGAGATTTAAGCACTAGACTGCACAAGTAATGAAGATTTTTGAGTTGTTTGTCAAAATGGGGATGATGAAAATAATGAAAATTTCCCTCGGTTATTAAGCACAAATATACGTAACTCATTAATTTATTGGGCACTAATATATAAAACAAAGAATTTTGGGCAAAGATTATTAAAGTGATGCTTATCAAAATATATTAAAAAAAGGATTATTAATGTAGTATAAGACTTATATTTAATATCACTAATAGTTGTGATTTTCTCATCTTACTCTTCTTTCCCTTGTATCATTTTTCTAATTGTATTTGACCAATATAGGCCATAGCTTTTGCAAAATTTATTTGTAAGTACTCTATTTGCACATTGATAAATTTTCTCTTCAAAAATTTTCAAATTCAAGAAAAAGAAATATTTCTTCGGCTAAAAAAATATTTTATTTACAAATGGTCTTCAAATTTCTTTCAAAATGAAATGTCATCCTTAAACTTCGATAGCAATCAAGTCCCTAAGTTGAGTTAATGACAAAACTTGGCATTATATAATCAACCTGGCTCTAATACCATTTGCACACCCATTTATTTGCAAACAAAACACAACACTACTAAACTATGGGTTTTTCTAATTAAGCTGTGCTCATAGGGTGTAATTGTATTTTTTTTTTGTCATTAATTAATATTGAAAATAACAAAAAATGACATTAAATTCATTACTAATGCTTTCACGTGAATTTTTTTAATTAAATAAAAATTTATTTTTATTTTTTAATAATAATTAATATAAAAAATATACTCTTAACATGTAGTCAAACCCTAACTATTTATTGTTATTATCATTATTATTATTATTTTAACATGAGAAAATATGGGGAGGATTCATGTAGGAGTGGAGTTGGAAGTGGGAACGCCACAATCAAAAGTAAGATGCTCCTTATAGAATAGCGAGGGGCTTCTCTACTAATTATTTATTCTTATTTTCCTTTATTTTAGTCTATTTAGTGTTTGGGGTTTTATATTTTAAATTGTATGGGAATCTTCGCTTATTGTAAAGGATCCCACCATAATCTAATTTAATAATTAATATTTTCCATTTTAATATAACTCAAATTTCAAAATATCTTTTTGTTACTTTATTAAAGGCAACGAATCAAGCATGATCTTCAAGTTCAAGGCTTAGTCTCCAACCAGGAAATACTTGATTGAGAGGCGGAGACTTAGAACTTAGTGCCTTTTTCTGTTGTAAGTGCCAAAAAGTATAATTAAATGTACAAATATCCTTGTTTTTTCATTAGGAAAAGTGAAAAATTAGAGAGTACGTTATTGCTCCGCATGTAGAATCTCAAAAAGAGTAAGATGCCAAAATAAAATAAGGTTGAATTACATCATAATCTCAACAGCATATAAACCCCACTAATAACGATACTAAAGTTTATTATAACTAAGCACACAATAAAATTTTTCATAATTAAATTTTCTATTTTTCTTTGGCTTCGGTCTATCCTAGTTTAAAGATGTTTGAGGCGACTTAATACGAATGAAAAGAACTAGCAAACAAAAAGATGGTGCAAAAGGGGAGGTTTGTATTTAGTATTCGAGATAGATTACCTAACAAACAAGAATGACGAGGCAATGCAAATTCAAGAATACAATTCATATCATTCCCAATAAATTTAATTTATATTGATCGGAAAGTACAAATATTTCATTTAACAGAGAACACTTTGTCCCAATAAATTTAATTATGATCAAAATTTCCCAATTAGGGAAAACATTTATTATCATACAAATGACCCACTAATGCCAAAGCTGTAATGATCACAATTTGAACTCATGTGATAGCTAAGCATACCAACTTTTCTTATAATGGTAGGGAAAATGACCCATGTAGCTAAATGGCTCAAAACAGAAGTATGAGAAAAAGAATAGAAATCAACTGAGGATGCTCATAGAAATAATCTTACATCCATAGCATCTGTGGAGAAGTGAAGAAGTCAGTAGTCTTGCCTCCTGCTGTTGACGAGATCAATGACAATATCGTCTTCCTTCTCTGAAAGTTCCACCAAGAAACTTAAAGAAGGATCATGAGCAACCAGTCTACTCTCATACTTTTTGGCTTCCTCCTTACGATTTGCTTTTAGTAAAGTGCTGAAAAGGCCAAATCTAACATTTAGTTTAAGGAATTGTATACAAACCAGTTATATGAACAAACTGCAATATAATTTGCCTGTCAGCAGAAAGTAATTAGTAGCAGAATCATTAAATGTCTTCTGGCTCTTCATAAAAATGAACAGAGAAAAATGTAGAAAAATCAAATCTGATATTCAAACCTCCAGAGCAACAGTAACCCCTCATAATAATGAGCTTTGCTTTGAGGATCTGCTGGCTCTTGTAAAGTTGCTATTCTTTCCAGGTGAACAATTCCCTCGGCCTCATCGTCCTAGGATAATGAAGAGAAAGCAGAAAGCAAATGAAACAAATGGCAGCACAAAGCAAATGAAACAAATGGCAGCACAAAGCAAATGGTTTCAGCCCAACCAACAAAACTCAAAAAATCACAAGAAACCTAGGCTGGATTCTAGAAACAGTCAAATAACAGGGTATTAAAGATGCGTGGAAGGCACCATCAGCCATGTAGTCTAGTGGTAGAGTTGCTTGTGCTCTTAGCCACAGGTATAGGGTTCAACCCCTAATCTCTACATACGCCCAGGCAAAAAAAAAAAAAAGGGAAGAAAAAGGGATGGAAAGCAAATTGGAGTTACATCAGCATTCCCCCAAAAATATTCATATCTATAGAAGATCCTTAAAGCATTTAATATTTTAGTGGCTGTTTTTAGGTTGAGTTCCAAAAATGAATGCTGACCTGCTTTATACATACAAATGCAGCCCACTGAGATGATAGAATCAAAAGATCAATATCCTCCAAGTTTGTTGGATGCCCAAAAAGCACGAGCTACAAGAATCAGATTAATCATTTACTAAAGAAGTCAAAGCTGAATTGATGGACTATTTTAATCAATTAAACAAAAAGGGATGACAAAGTCACTTCAATATTTTTATCATAATAAACAAATACCACCTCAAACCAAGCCCCCACCCCAACGAACAGAAAAAGGCAATTTACCTAAAATAAAAGGAGTATATCAATCTGATAGTTCAAGTTGATGGTTTGGTATCCAATCATTTGCAGCAAAAAAAAAAAAAAAAGAAAAAAAGAAAAAAAAAGAAATGAAAATCAAACCTTGGAAATGGCATGCTCTAAATACTCCCTTGCCTCCACCAGCATTTCTTCCTGCATAAGAGTATTTCCCAAAACAACCATAGCTCTCACATAATCAGGATCTTTTTCTAGAGCCAATCTGCAAACAAATGTCAATTGTATAATGCAAAAGAATAGTTCACTCATAAAAGCAAGCTCATAAAGAATTAAAAAAAAAAAAAGAAAAAAAAAAAAGAAGAGAGAAAAACATATAACCAAGTAAAGTTACTTTAGTGAGGAAATTGCTTTTTCATGCTGCTTCTTTCCTAGGCGCATTACTGAGAGCTGCCAACAAAATCAGATTATGAGACATCAGAAAAACTTTAATTCCATCTGCAACTCAAAATAATGTGTTGGATTCCTATTCTTAGCCACTCACTTTCAATAGTTCTTTCGGAGATAGGTCTTCAATAGCAGTTATGCAATTCTTTGAGGATGATTCCACGTGCAAATTATCAGATGTATGCATTTCCTCTGAATTACCTGTTGTGAGAGCTTTTGTATCTGGTAAACCCAATGTTGCAATTACAGCAGGATGCTTGAAGGATAATTGCTGCAAGTAAATTGTGGAGCTTAAAACAATATGAACTTTAACACTTATTTACAGGCCAAATAACACCTAAAGATTTCAAATTTCTAAACCCTTTGAATATTACATGGGCTAAAGTAGTAAGAAAAGGGTTTTACTCTTTTGGATCTTCACAGGAATATGGTCATTGATGAACAAAATGGAAAGTAAATATATATGCAGCTTTTCCCAATAGGTTTCAGCCTAAAGCTTAGTTCAATTAAGTTAGTATTGCCATGCTGAGATGTCATGTCAAACTTGTTTTTTTAATCTCAGGCACATATCACATATTAGCGCCAAGGTCATGCCATATCAAGGATAATTTCCTAGATTTTTTTTTTTTTTTTTTTTTCTTGTTAGGAAGACTAATAGCCTAGGTGCAAGTGGCAAGTCTAAGAAACATAGATGAAAAACAGGGATAAAACAAATATCCTATATTATGCATCTTCATCATTCCATTATAGAGATAAGAAATCAAACATTGAATAATTTGTTTTTGATTAAAGATATAACTGCATGGTAGCCAATTAAATCATCAATGCATACAGACAAATCCTTCTCAAAGAAACTAAATACAACTGACCTGAATGAGACTAAATGAACCATTTGTAACCCAGTAAAGAAGGCTTCCCTGCAAAATGAGGGGGATCATTTAGAATGATGTCCCAAGTGCTGTGAGGAGAAAGAATAACATTCAAAATCAAGTAGGCTCATAATAGAAGTAGTCACCTTTGACATTTACATGTTTCTAGGAGGGAGCTACCTCATGATTTGTCATAGGAACCACTCGGTGGAACTAATTCTGTAAAATCTAAGTGTGGAACAACCAATCAGATGTCTCTGCTCCACACTTCTAGACTTTGCAAGCAACTATTACTTCTTTTACTGGCCTTAAAAATTTGATAGTAAATTGGTTTTATTAATCCAATTTCTTTCGAGAGATGCATGAAAGTGATTCTGAATTCTTGGAAACATAATCTAAGGCCCATACAATCCTTAATCATAGGAGGAACACTAGATTAGATATAAAAAAATGCCCATACTCATTTTCAATTTTAGCAGACAAGTTATTTGATTACTAAGGTTGGTAGATCGGAAAGTTTAGTTTGGAAGAGATAGTGACCCTTACAAGTCCACAGAGACAAACTCTATGCAAGTATTAAGGTAGCTGACACCACTATAACTGGTTCTATTACAGACATCTGTCACACCTAGGGACTGTCAGTGAGTACAAACCTTGCTTTTGAGAAGTTGAAATGTTGAATATGATCTATGTATTATAAACAACTCTTAAATTGATATGATTTTGATTTTGGATCATCATCCAATATAACGGATAACAGCTTTGCATTTGTGTTAGGGTAAACTATAAGGCCTCTCCCAGAAAATTGGTTGTACTCTTAACTCTCTCTATAAAATATACACTTAATTTCAAACTGCTTCATTCCCCTTAAAGTGTTACAAGATTGGTTCCAATATATATAAACATCTTTCAAGTTTCAAAATATAGTTTAATTATTACAGTTATTCAATCAGACATTAGTTTCTAAAATGAGGCTGATATCATGGCAAAAAGGAAAAATCCACCTTTAATCAAGGTTAAAGCATAATAATACATCTTTTCAAATATCTCATCAACTGATTCAAAGCTTCCAAAAAACTAGGGTCAAAGCAAATGACATCATCAATGATCCAGTATGATATTTCAGCTTCAGATGCATGGGTAAATGGTGTATTACCTGGGGCATAAAGAAGCCAACGAACAAAAGGAAAAAAGATATAAAGTCCAAATAGCGTTTGTAAAGCTGCAAGAAGAAAGACAATTCCAATTATTTGTTAAATAAAACTTTATGCAAATGAGAAAGATTTATACATTTCATTAAACAAATTGTATGAAATAAGCCAACCTAAACAACATAAATACTTGGCCAAATAAAAAACAACAAAAATGCAGCAGAGCTATTGGAATTCTCCATTACTCTGTTTACTCACTTGGAACAATAGGTCAAATATGCTGTCCAGTTTCCGATGTGAAATCATCCTAAAAGAAATCTGATAAAATGATCAAATTAAATTAGCAACAGTCCAGAGAGATATGTTCTGATTGTAACTAATGTTATGCTACATCTAATATGATGAGAGTCTAGTAAAAGTTTGTAAGTAGATGGGCATGCTTGAATGCAATAACCTCTTTCAAAAAGCATGATCATCTAGCATCGGCAAAATGTTTTGTCCACAAATTTAGAAAACTATAGGTAGTAGCCATCAAGTTTCAACCGCCAAAGGTAAGGACTATCCAAAATAAGATGGCAGAACAAGTATAGTTCTGAAGCTATAAGAACTATTCAGGAACAAATTCTTCCAGCCGATCATCAAAAATATAATTACAAACAACATTAAAGTGCTGAAAAGAAACTACTCCACATATTAAGTGTTTGCTATTATGAAATTCTAAATTATCAATGTAAGTGGTTCATGTAAAAACAGGCAAGGATGGCAATGCTTTAAAACAATGACAAAACTTTACAACAGAATTTATAAAGTATGTTGTTGAAAAATTAATTTAATTTAGTTATAAAAGTCACACTCAAGGATGGCAACATAAAGCACTTAGTTTCATCACCACCACATCCTCCAATTTCACTTTTAAATAATAAATCCAATTTCACTTTTAAATAATCAATCCAATTTCACTTTTAAATAATCGATCAACTATGAGTTCACTTGTGGTTAACTCTACACAAATACGTACTCATGTATTATTGTATTTGCATGTTAAAAGAATAATGTACTTCCTAAAATCAGTTCATTTACTTAATATTTATGGTTTGTCTGCACATCAGAGACGCGACTTAAAAAATCAGATAGTGGATTTGGCTTTCTACAAGTAAATAAGATGTAATATATAGCCTTAACCACTAATAGAGAGAAAGTATATAATACCTGGACATTAACATAGTGCAAACCTGCAATCAGGACTGGAAAGATGGGGCATAAGAGATCATAAGGGGATTCAGTTAAGTCCTGGAACCATAATGTGCCACCCTGTAATTGATTATGTTTAGCCCCATGTTCAAGCAACTTCAATGCTGGGATTTTAAATGCATCAATGAATGGCAATTTAAAACACAAAACAAGGGCAAAATCATACACAGAATAATTTATTTCATATGAAACGGAATGAAAGTGAAAGTCAGATTCAGACCTAACACACAAAGATAGCAGAAGTTCCTTCTCCATTTTAGTCCGATTATAGCCAAACCAAAAAAAAAAAAAAAAAAAAGGGAGTTTACTTATCTAA